CATTAATCTGTAAAGGAAAACCCCTATTTACAATCACATCCTAGATAAGTCGAATGGCTTAATCCATATACTGTGTAACCCGTAATAATGGCTTAATCTATCTATGCTTCCGTTCGACATCATCATGTTTCCGCTTGACTTTCATGCTTTGTACAATAAGGGAAACAACATAATTGGAACATTTCTTTGAGCATAATGATGATGATATCTTCCAGTGCTGTAGACCTTTTTTGTATATTCAAAACAAGATTTTCTGACATCTCTGAAATGACTTATTATCACCATTCAAGTTTTATTTCTATAGCAGCTTGTGCTAAAATAACAAAATAAGCCCTTTGAAGTCTAAATTGCATCAGAATTAAGAATGATGAGCTTGACATTTCGTTCAAAGTTATGTGAAAATAAAGTTCAAGTTGCGACATTAACGCAAGCCCTATCCATTTAGTCCAAAATCAAAGTATTATTATGCCTTTTCACCCGTTATCGATGTTGTTGCCAATCAGTCCGTTTCCAATTTCCCATCTCTCAGAAAACAGCATCCCACCAACCAAAAAAAAAACGCGCACTTCCAACCAACCAGAGCTGGTAAAATGGTTCTCTTTCTAGTGATTTGGTTTTCAGTTGATATGGTTGCACTTGTTTGTTTCGTAGAAAGTACCATAGGGGAAGAAAACAAAATTTTGATTATGGGCATTCATTTTGAGACAAAAAAAAAATGCAAAATTTGCTTAGAAAAATCAAGAAAACGTGCATCAATGTCCCGTGGTTTGATTTAAGGCTTTAATAAAATCTACTAAATGAATAGGCATTTTACATCAATACAGCATATTAATTTATGTTTTTTTTTCTTGTTACTAGTAATAGTTCACATAATTTGCACGTGATTATATTAACTCAAATATAAGATCACTTAGATATAAAATTTTTTTAATGAAAATTGATTGTTTACCTGATAACAGAATATTTATATTTTCAATTTATTAAATCAATTGTTGTTACATGTTACAAAAGACTCTCTAGATACGAACTTTTTGATTTATTATATTTTGAATTTATTTTGAGCTTTTGGGTAAATTATAGATCTAGTTTTGATAAATAATTCTTAATATGGCTATGTTTCACCAAAGTTGTTTGATGAAAGAAAATCCAACATTTAATCATAATTGTTTTCATTAATGTTATAGAAAAATGTCGATTTAACCCTTCATTAAATGTTGGATTTTTTCTCATACAAGTAACGTTTAATCAACATTTTGGTGAAACATTTAGTGAAACAATTATGATTGTTTTCAATGTCACCCAAACTTTCATGGGATTATGTGAATCACCAAAGTTTAATGGACCCTGGAATTATCACTTGCTCATTTATTTGGGTATTGTGAATTTCAATTGGGAGACCCGAGGCGAGGCCCGCGGGTTCGGAGACATAGCATCGAAGTCCGCCCTGGGCCTCTCAACGCCATCCACGTTGTGTATCCCCCGCGGTCAAGAAAAACAGTTTAGATCCGCACTGCCAGTGTCTCTAGGCTGGAAAAACCCGCTTCAAAAACTGATGGAGTACGCATCATTTATGTCATTATCTTTAACAATCAAAACCTCAATTTCCATCCCATTTGTTATTGCAGATTTAAAGCATTTCGTATATTAAATTCTCAAACAAAACTAAAGAAAAATCGAGTAGGAGAAATCAGCAATGGGGAGGAGCCCAGTTGATTATTTGGCCATGAAAACGGACCAAAATCCAGTCACGGCTGAATTGATTGATTCTGACATCAATGAATTGAAAATGGCAGCCAAGAAACTCTTCAACCACGCGACCAGACTCAGCGGCCTTGCTGTTGGAACATCTTTTCTCAAATGGGTCGCATCTTTCGCTGCCATGTAAGCTAATTTCCCACTGCCACACCTCTCATTAGTCTCTATTTCTTCGAGTTAGCCGTCAGCTCTCGTCAATTTGTTCAAATGTAATCATCGGAACTTAACTCAATTTGTTGAAGTTTGCGTGTGATCATGGCGGTGGAGTTTTATAATCGTGTTTAATTATCATGTGAAGTGGGCTTTGCTCTAATCCTTGAATGATGATGTTCTTTTTTGTCAAAAAATGAAATAATGATGGAAGAACCCTGTAAATTGTTTTCGATGTCAAAGTGTTGAGGGTCTTTCCACCTAAAGAATCAATAAACAAACTTTGGACCTTTCACGCAATGATCTTGATGATGATTGTTAAACGTTGTGACTCTCAATTCTTCTCAACTTTATCTCCTTTGTTGACTCTTGTTTGTGAAAGGGTGGAATTCTGTCAAAACAACTTTATAGAACGGCTTTGACTCGTGCCATTATTGGTATTGGTAAACTATCGATCAGGGACTATATCAACAAAACAGGGTCCTTTTTTTTTTTTTTTTCAAAGCCGATTATATATATATATACATATAAAAGAGGATATGCATAAAATCTTGATCTTGACTAGATAGTATATCCATCAGATATGTTTGTTCAAATTTGTCAATTCTGTTACCAGATGAGTGGCTCAAATCCAATTTGTTTGTTGGTTGACTAAGGCCGGTTATTTCACACATTGTTGAGATGATAGACGGATTGGAATTTCCATTTGTTGGGCCAATGGGGTGGGAAAGATAGATAAATCTACACCGGTGCTGCCCATTGATAGGCAAATGCATAGAGTTTGAGTGGAGACTTCCTCTTAGAGAAGTTGTGTGGCTACTCTTTCTCCCACCGTATTCACCAATCAAATCGCATATTAGAGAAAACTGACCATTTCATTCATGCATCTTTGTGCAATATTACTGCTTAGTGCCTTGCTGGAATGCCAAGAAAACTAATGTTGAGCAGTGATTAATATTAAAAAGTGAGCAGATTGGCTGATGACGGGAATGTCTCTTTAGTCGTCACTATTACTGGCCGCCTCTATCTTAGCACCTTCTCATCCTACCAGATTAGAGTGTGTGGATGTGGTCTGAGCTATGCCCTCAAAAAAAAAAAAAAAAAAAAAAAAAAAAAAAAAAAAAAAAAAAAAAAAGGTGGATAACAGTCACCAGGTAATTATCATGGTAACTACAGATGAATGACTTTGCTATGCAAAATTCCTAAAACATGGAGACAAATATATGCTCAATTTTATCAATATTGTAAACAAAGAACCATTTTGGTGCAATGTCAGCTTACCAAGAAAAAAAGTTGCCACTAATAAGCATTCCGTCATCTACTCGTCTCAGGAAAAGCCTGCAGGTTAACCTCTTGATTGACTAACTTAGCAACTTTCTGGCAGGTTAATTGCTAATGACTCAGTGCCTTCAGTTAGAAAAATGTCAATGGGACTGACATTCATGAGGCTCTCATATGTAGCATGGCTAACACATTTGTCCAATCTGTGGAGGGATTGCCACGACATTTTTCTGATTTATGTATATGGTTTTCTTGTATGTTAATTTCTCTCTCGACAGATTTTGACTTCTCCTCTTTCTCTTAATTTGTAGTTATTTTTCTGGATGCACAAAAGTTAATGTTGTAGTGAATATCTGCTGTCAATTTTTGTCAGACCATCAGAATTACCTTGTGAACAGACTCTGCATGTTAACCCACACTCTGCTTCTGCTGTAGTTATCTGTTGATATTGGATCGGACAAATTGGAGGACTAACATGCTGACTTCACTTTTAGTACCATACATCTTTTTCAGTTTGCCTGCAGCTCTTTTCAGCTTCTTGAGGTGATCATTTTGAGTTCCTCATCTTTTTGTTCTCCTTCTCTCTGAATTTGAGAGTTAAATAAATTCCCCTCACAACATGTAATCCGCTTTGCGATTTAGGGGAGAGTTCGGGAAGTGGGTTGCTTTCATTGCTGTTGTACTGAGGCTTTTCTACCCTCGACATTTCCCAGGTATGGAGAATTTTTTGGAAGTGGCATGTGTCATTTTTCGTCTCTGCAAGATCATGTTTCCCTTCCACTGGCTTTGACATTTGACCAGTGGTTTTTGTGAATTACAGACTGGCTGGAGATGCCTGGTGCACTAATACTTTTGCTGGTGGTTTCCCCAAGCTTCTTTGCTCACGCCCTGAGGAACAACCTGGTTGGCGTTTTCATATGCCTCATTATCGGTTGCTATCTCCTGCAAGAGCATATCCGGGCATCTGGAGGATTCCGTAATTCTTTCACGCAAAAACATGGTATTTCTAACACCGTCGGCATCATCCTCTTGCTGGTGTACCCAATCTGGTCCTTGGTACTTCACTTCCTCTGATTTCGTTTTCGTGGATGATGATGATGCTTTGGACATCGCTTCTTTAAACTTTCATTGCTCCACAAGTTCAGTGATTGATTAGTTATCGAAGTAAAAATCAAATCAATCAAACCCGAGTATTAATTGTTACCCGTAGAATAGGAATTCTTTGCTTTCCTGTGTACTGCTTGGTTTGCAAGGGAAAGATGACTCTGCAAATACTCCCACGTAACTTTTTTGATTTATTACTGGAGATTCATTATTATCATATCCTTGTGCAATCGCGGAAAAAAAACCTATTAACTCCTCGTCTTTATTTCCATCTAGATTCAGAGCTTCAGAAGAATTACTCTTCTGAAGATTTCCTTATCATCGGAAAATGCCAGCAACCGAGCGAGCACTAGAGGGACGCTGCATTTGCTACAAGTAATTGACATGATATGGTATACCCAGCTGAGTCAAGGACAAAAACAATAAGTTAACATAACAAAAAAAAAAAAATCTGCTTTTTAAGAATCAATTTAACAAAATCAGAATCAATCGAGAACACGTCAGCATCTCCCTGAATTCTAGTATGAAACTTTTGAACAAATATTTTAGAGAGCTTTTTCTAATTTTAAACAATATCTCAGACTCAAAAGGAAAACGTGGCGAGCATACAAGCTGAGACGAACGTTTTTGTAGACAGGATGTGTGGGCCTTGGCCCTTAATATGCAAGAAAAAAAGCCCAAAACTTTGAAATTTTACGTGACCGCTCAAAAGCAGGCCAGTGCTGTGCACAGTGAACATCCTTCAAGGCTCAATGAAATCCGCGGAGCTTTTCTCAACCCTAACCCTAGCAATCAGAAGACTGCCGAGTCTCCGCTCCAATGTGAATAAATACAACTGCGTTGCCCCAACCAATTCCCTAGGTTTTGTTCTGCTAATGCCGTTCCTCACTAGCTCGTAAGTGCTGTACTCTTTCCAATCATTTCCAGTTCGAACTAATAACTGAGTCAATCATCGCCCGGTATTCTTTAAGAGTGTGTGTATATATATATTTTGCTTCTTCTTTCGTTTTTCGATGATCTTTTTCGGGTGTTTCTCAGTGATGAAGATTTTTCAGATGACGAGTCTGATCGAAAATCCATTCGTTTACAATCGTGACGACAAATCGAGGCATTTGTCTGAGAGAAACTCCTTTTTTGTTTATTATTCTATTTTTCTTCATTTTCTCCTCAACATTTTTAATATCTTCCCCCCAATACCGAAGTATTGTTCTGCTTTAGTTAAGCAGCACTATTTGAAGTCAGGAATGATAATTGCAATATTTTGTTCTGAATATTCAAGTGATTGAACGAATGAATGAATTCCTGCTCATCCTCAATTCTTGGCTTCACTCGTTAATTTGCTGCTACACATTGAGTCTTCTTTTTCAATTTTTTTTTCTCGTTAAATTTTCTTCTCTCTTCCTTTTTCAAATATTGACTTTAGCAAATGGAGATACGGCGGGAATGCTGTCCCAAGGCTGTTTATGACCTTCGGTTGCAGCTGGGAAAATTTGTCCACTTTTCGGACCTTAGCTGGAAACGATGAACAACTCTGCACAAACTTTGCTGAGGTTTAATCAACTAATTGTGATGTTTATGCTTAATTTACCCCAAAGGTAAAACTTGTTCATGTCTCATGGCAGAGTAAATGGTTCAAAATCATACAATCTCATGATCACGGCGTGCCTGGCTGTGTTTTTTCCCTATGAAGGAAATTTGCTGGATTTGATACGCTGCTCTAAATCCATCTAGTCTTAGTCTACTATTTTGGTTTTTTCCAATACATATGAAACAGGAAACTCTGATAAATGATGGGGTAAATAATGTGGCAATGATGAGAAAAACTCTGTTAAACAATGAGGAACCCCTTCCTGTTATTCATTCATACGAACAGAATAGCAGCGTGGTAGCCATGATTATTTTCAAGCACTTTTGAGCCACATTCTCTCCACATTTTTGAGTATATTTTTTTAAGTCCCAATAGGTGGGTGATAATTGGAGCCCGATCAGGCAATTATTATCCTTATTATTATGGATTTTTTAATAAATAATTCAGTTATTGCTGAGATGAATGATTACTGGAGCTCATATCATATAGTAAGAATGATTTCAGGCGTACAAGAGTGTCTTATGATCAAAGAGAATGACTCAACTCACTTTGGGTTGTGAATTAGATCCTGAGTAAATATCCGGCTACCCTCTTCGAAAAATGAAAAAGGGTAAAACCAGTGTATCAATATCATTCTTCGCATGGAAAATAACGAGGATCTTTGTTTTACCATTATGAATTGCAATGCTTCCGTCGGTGATTTGTAAGACAGCAGCTGTGTGACAGAGTGCTTTCACTACTGTTAGTGGGCACGATTTGCTTTGCTGTAAATATTTTGCATTCTCAAGAACATATTTATACATGTTAATATAAGTCATAGTATTTTATAACAAGATTCGCTCGCATGGTTGGACTCAAAAGGACGTTTATTTGTTACCTTAATAAATTTGATCATGTAATGACTCAATGGCCCTAATATAATCTTACTAGTATCACAATTTTTCTGAACTTGTTTGGGTATCTCCGGGAACAAATATTTTATCGACTTGTTTAAAGAGTTGGGAATCTCTCTGCCCATTCTAAACAGTGCATGCAGAATTGGGCAACTCTAAGTGCTAAAACATACTGATGAGATGATCACTTAAAACAACTGATGGATTTAGAGCTGGACAATTTAACATAGGAGATGGCAGCTTGTAATTAGTGCTTCACTAGAAGAAATAAATCATCAGATAATAACCAGAACAAAATGATTGTTAACTATAAAAGGATAAACCAAGTAAATATAAAGGATTAACAAACCAAGTAAATATAAAGGATTAACAAACCAAGTAAATATAAGGAAAATTTGCCAAATTGGACCCTAACATTTACCAAAAACACTTTTTTAGTCCCTGACATATAAAATCAGCCAAAATGCTCCTTCACATTTAAATTGTGAGCCAATTTGGTCCTATTGCTCGTTTTTGCTCATTTCTCCGGCTAAAAATAGCACGCCCCTCTCATGTGGTCATATTTTTAGGGGCAAAACCGGAAACACATTTCATTACCTGTTGAAAGTAAAGGATAGGGGACCACCACCAAAATACACATTTCACCTTTAGCTCTCAAATTACCCTTTCCCTTTGGCTCTCAAATTACCCTTTCAAGAAACCCTATTTGCATCCCCAAATTAACAAGCATATGGAGCCAAAGGTGATTTGAGAGTGAATGGACAATTTTGTTATAATCAATCTTGAAAATTGGACAATTCAACTTAAGAGTGAATGGTCACCCTTAGATTGGAAAATGGAGAATTCACAAGCTTTATGCCCTGATCTGGCGAGAAGATTTCGCTGAATGAGTGAAGTTTTTTGTGGCATCCTGAATACTTTGTGCACCTTCCATACATGATGCTTGAGCCGCCCCTTTTAGGCAAAGGAATCACACGAAAAGAAAGGCTAAGTTTCCTGGAAGGATCACATTTTCTTTACCAAACTTGCCAAGTTGGTCTCGGTGAAGTCGTCTTCCTCGGTGTGCAGGGACGGCGGCGGCGGCGGCAGCAAGCTCAAGTGGCCGTCGCTGCTGCCAATAGAAGCGATGGAGCGGAAGGAACAAGAGCTGGGATCGGTCAGAGTGTCGGCTTCGAGAGGGGAAGTTTGAGCAATGATAATATTGCGAAACTCGTCTTCCAGGCGGGCCATGGTGATCTGGATCGCGCTGTTGGCCTTAGCAGAGTCGTCTGAGATGCTGGCGGATTCCATTGACCGTTGGATTTCATCCACGGCTTGGAAGTATTTGTCGATCTCATATCGATCGCCGTCGAAGATCATTCTGTCCCTGGCGTCCTCGGAGGCTGTGGAGTCCCAGCGGAGGATGATTTTCTCAGCTGATGCAATAGCCACGGCGTCGTTTTCCGGTGGCTCCATAGAGAGTAAAGGGTAATTTGAGAGCCAAAGGTAAAATGTGTATTTTGGTGGTGGTCCCCTATCCTTTTACTTTCAACCGGTAATGAAATGTGTTTCCGGTTTTGCCCCTAAAAATATGACAACGTGAGAGGGACGTGCTATTTTTAGCCGGAGAAATGAGCAAAAACGAGCAATAGGACCAAATTGGCTCACAATTTAAATGTGAAGGAGCATTTTGGCTGATTTTATATGTCAGGGACTAAAAAAGTGTTTTTGGTAAATGTTAGGGACCAATTTGGCAAATTTTCCTAAATATAAAGGATTAACTGTAGTGACCACAATTCAACCAACTACTTCAGGGGAGATCTATGAGGTATCCCTTTTCTTCTCCTTTTCCTTCTACTGGTGGAGACTTCGCCTTCTTTCGTACCATTTGAGGGTATTATTGTGGCATTTGAAGGTTGATCAATTGAAGGCTTTATTATGTTTTCTGAAGGTTGAGCAACAGGATCAGGATTAATGGGGTTCAACTCCGATTGAAGGCTTTATGGTGCTATTTGAAGGCCGATCAATTGAAGGCTTTTCTGAAGCTTGATCAACAGGATCAAGGTCGATGGGTTCAACTCCAAATCCAACCTGCAAAGAAACAAATAATTTTTGTGTATAGCATATTTAAAACAACGGCATATCAATAATATTTCCAAAATAATCCTTACTTTGCAGGCAATCGAACAAAATTTATATTGTGACCCTTTAACGTGTCCTTTGCATATCGCACACTTGGAGCATGCTTTTTCCTCTTGAATGTAGGAAGAAAATTTGGTGGGAGTTAATTAAAAAGGGCTGTATGCCAGAAACATCCATATATCTCCTGATATGATTAGCTCGGATAGACACTCCATACGATGCTTTAAAAACCTATAATAACAACAACTATATAACATTAAGGTAACTCGGTACAGATCACATTAAGAAGAAAATATCAATGTAAAGAAGAATCTTACTCGTATGGTTTCGTGGCGCCATTGTGAGAAAGATATGAGCACTTGTCGCAAATAGGTCCATCCATACAAGTTATGCAGTAGATTACCTTCCGAGAATGGCCTGATATTCTACAATCATTGTAGAACGTTACGGATTGGAGAACGGGGGTCAACCACTGCGGTTGATCAATTCCACTGGACATCATGAATTATCACAATACTTTGCTATGAAATACAGTACAGTAAATAAATTTTTAGGTTTAGAGGACATATATATATATATATATATATATATATATATATATATATATATATATATATATATATATATGTATGCAGTGCAAGTTCCAAGCTTTATGTGCATTGGGAAATCACAGTACTTGCTATTAATCGACTCAAATAAATTGGACACGCGAAGCAAGAAATGGAAAGTAGCTCATATTTTACAATCTCCTTTTTAGTAGTTTGATTTGCCATAAATTAACTAGAGAACTTCCCAACATTGTTTCATGTTCTTATGTTTATAGAATTGTGTAAATGAGGCAAAGAGGCTTGCTGATCGTTTATAGTAATAAATTTGAAGCATAGGTAATAGTAATATTGGACATTAACACATTTGAAAATATAGGAATTATGTGTTATAGCATACGTTTTTGGTATCATGATGCTTAGTAGTAGAAAAGTTTCTCAAATTATAAATTAACTCAACATTATGATGTAACTAAAACACTGAACTGCAATTTTGTTATTCAGTATGTTTCTGTTTTGGTTTTGAGGTGTGGCGATGGATAATGGCAAACGAAAGCTAGAATAATAAATTTGATTAACCACATCGCATGGCCTATTAGCTCAGTTGGTTAGAGCGTCGTGCTAATAACGCGAAGGTCGCAGGTTCGAGACCTGCATGGGCCATTGTCACTGTTTTGTTTACCCTATCATATATTTTACTTTTCTCCTCTCTCTCTCTCTCTTTTTTGCCCTATATATCTTACTTTCTCTCCAGACTATTTTGTGATTTTCAATAAGTAATCATTTCTTTAATAAGTTGTTTACCCTATGCAGCTTGCTTGCTCTCCTGTCCATTTTCTGACTTTCAATAAGAATTATAATTCTTTAATAAGTTCAGCACTCCCATTGATAGGAATTCACATAATGACAGATAAAAACCGTTTTCACAAGTTATAGATGAAAACACCAAAAAGCATAATATAGAATTAGATGAGATTTTTATCCCCAGCCGAATACAATCTGACCTTCACCTTTCCGGCTCCCAGGCATCTATGCCCAAATTCCTCCACCACGAAAAAGTGAATAACAAGATTTTGTTTTCTTAATTTATTTTGGGAAACCAACAAATTTTTTTCCTTTTTTTTTCGACGACGATAATAATTATATAACTTTTTCTATCCTAATGTACA